TTATTAAATAAAAACAAAATGTGCAGGCTTTTTTCATGCCGCAGCTTATTTCGTGCAGTTCATTCTTCTTAACTTATTATTTGTAATTTAAAAGCTAATATTTGGTATGTCCTCATTTCTGGTTCAGGACAGCTTTAAGACGATTTCCCAAGGAAGAAACTAACTTTTAAGTGGTTTCCACTGGAATTTTTGGTCATTCTTCCATAAGAACACTTTACATGTCGTTTTTGTTCGAAATCTTCCTCTTCCTTATAGCGATGTCCAATATTTCCCATAAATTTTTGATCACATTTAAGTCTGGATACTGTGCTGGCGTTAAGACGGCATGAGGGCAGTTCCAGACAAGATAAACCTCCACAATTCCTGCTGAATGCTTCGGATCGTTGTCCTGGTAAAATCGAAATCGATCGCGTATGCCCAGTTTTTCAGCAGTTTGGAGCAGGTTTTCCTTATGAATCTGTAGGTACATTTTGGCCATCCATGATAACTTCAAAAAAAATCGAGGTTGCCCCGCCAGAAGCTGCCATACAGGCCCAAACTATAACATGACCCCCGCCATGCTTGACTGTAGCTTTTAAGAGTTTGTTTTCGAGCTCTGTATTAGGTCGCCGCCAAACATATTAAACCAAAAAGTTTACATTTTGACTCGTCTGCAAATAACACGTCATTCCAAAACGAAATCGGAAGAAGAATATGCTTCCTTGTTCCTAATACAGAGCTGGAAAGCAAACACCTATAAGCTACGGTCAAGCATGGCGGGGGTCATGTTATGGTTTGGGCCTGTATGGCAGCTTCTGGCGGGGCAACCTCGTTTTTTTTGAAGTTATCATGGATGGCCAAGATGTACCTACAGATTCATAAGGAAAACCTGCTCCAAACTGCTGAAAAACTGGGCATACGCGATCGAGTTCGATTTTACCAGGACAACGATCCGAAGCATTCAGCAGGAATTGTGGAGGTTTATCTTGTCTGGAACTGCCGTCATAACGCCAGCATAGTCTCCAGACTTAAATGTGATCAAAAATTTATGGGAAATATTGGACATCGCTATAAGGAAGAGGAAGATTTCGAACAAAAACGACATGTAAAGTGTTCTTATGGAAGAATGACCAAAAATTCCAGTGGAAACCACTTAAAAGTTAGTTTCTTCCTTGGGAAATCGTCTTAAAGCTGTCCTGAACCAGAAATGAGGACATACCAAATATTAGCTTTTAAATTACAAATAATAAGTTAAGAAGAATGAACTGCACGAAATAAGCTGCGGCATGAAAAAAGCCTGCACATTTTGTTTTTATTTAATAACTATTTTGTTTTTACGATTAAGGAAATCGTTTTAATTTAATAAACAAGCTAATATTCCCTTTTAAAATACTGCATTTAAATTTTTCTGTTATCTTTCTTAGTTTAGCTGGAATAACGACTTGAACTTTTTTTAGGTAACTGCACGAAATAAGCTGCGATCCACTGTATTTACCCTGCATTCGCTTTTATGCATTTCTTTAAATATTGCTTTCCAAAAATGGCAGAAGACGATACTTTTTTGTAATCTCCACTGTTCATCCTGGAGCTTGTAAACAACAGATCGACCGTTCCAGACGCATTAAAGGCTCCACAAACCATTGCGGATCCGCCTCCGAAATTGCGTGTGGATAACATAATGGTTCTTACTAAATCTCTTTTTTTACTTCAAAACGCGAGATGATCCTACGAGGGTCGAAACTAAAATTGTTGGGGTGTCGTATCATTTTGGGCAGGATCTTATGCCCAATCTTATATGGCCAAAGCTCATTTGTTAAATAATTTTATAAATAACCTAAACCATGAGATTATAGTCTGTTTTCCTAAATTATATAAAGGTTTTGTTTAAATTCATTGCTTCTTTGAGCATTCGCATGTTTAAAATAGCCCCTTTCCCCTCAGAAATTGCCAATAACCAAGTAAAATTTCATTAAATATACAAATAATGAGATCATGGAACATATGTATGTGGGGTGGCAAAAAAGTTCACAACCGGAAGAACAGAAAAGAACCGAACAGAAACAGTCAGAAAAGAATATCGATGTTATAAAAAAGGTATGACTACAATATTTATATTTTTTATTATATTTGGGTGCTCATAACTAAAAGTCCCAAAAAAAACTTTATTTCCATTACCCCTAGGTTCTGCAGAATAGCTATATGGTATAAAAAATTTACCATATACCCTGAGATGTAGTAACTTTTAACGATTTCAGAATTGCGGTTTTACTTTTATAAAATCGGCCGACTTTATCATATAGCTGCCATAGGAATTATATAAGAATGTGTCGGAAAATCGATCTAGTTTATTGTTTTTAAGCTTCGAAATCCAATTATATAATATTTTATTTTATTTCCATCTGCAAGGGTATATAAACTTCGGCTTCCTTTCTTGTTTTTCTTACCACTTTAACACAAATTCAAAAACCCAATGTGTGGTGTTATTTCAAACTTGTTATTGTGAATTTGTATGGATGAATAATAATTAAATTATATTCGATTGATTTAGTTAACTTAACTCTAGATTCTCTATTTCGCAGTCCAAAAGGAAGGGACCTCTTCTTCATCTAAAAATATGAAGTTGTATGATTTTTGCTTTGCAGTTAATTTTCGTATGTATGTTGAGTGAAATAAATGGTGGTGACGGCGTTTCTGAATTGGAAACTATTTGTGTAAGTTTTCAGTAATCTTGTAACCCTTTCAAAACTTCATTACTTCTGTCAAAAATCCTTTAATTGGGCAATTAACAATATGTCTCGGGGGATTCTACCCCAGCGACTTAAAGCCTCCGCCAAGTGTGTTAAGACTTTAATTAATAGAATCCGTTTCTGGACTTTTTCCCCAGGGCTCTCTATTATTGTCGGATAATACCTTCATTTGTGCCATTGTGTGTTCATTTCTTCAATCGAATTAAATCTCATTGTTATGGCCAATTGCTGCTGGTGGCCGTTTCAAGGCCCTAAAAGCGGGGCTAATCGTCAATAATCCTCACAATATGCACTAAGATTGTGCCTTACTTTATTTAAAGACTCTCATAAATTAATCACTTACTATGTAAGGTGCAAGGTAGCTGGACTGTGTCATTTTCGTAGGTCTTCACTGTGGTGGGTATGCTCTTGAACTTTTGACTGTTCTCGAGATCATTGTTAAAATCCAAATCAGCTTGCACTTGGCCAAGGATCAAGCCCACAAACAAACACCTCCAAATTAAGCACTTATGGGGCAACATTTTACTTGCACTTTTCATTGGCTATATTTCTTTAAATTAAATTAAACAGTGATTTGGTAATTCTATAATTCACGGTCGCGTGTCGGAATTAGAACGGTCCGCTCTGGTCCGCGACGAAGTCAACTTTGAACTGATCGCTTGAGCTGCCCGCGAAGCGGTTGCCAGCGTCCTAAGCCGCACATACTGCACATACTACACAGCACACATATGTACAGTGGAGCCCCGAGGGGCGGACAATAGAAGATGCCCGAGCCCGGGGCGACGATGAAGAAGCCGCTGCCGGACAGCACCCAGCACTTGTGTATAAGGCATGCCGATGCCGGTTGATTAGTCGCCGCCAAGGGAATTCTCCCACATGGGGACACAGAAAGAAAAAAGTGTATCACAAGATCATGATATCAGCATTTGAACTTAATATAACACTCCAAACATATAAATGGAATAATTCAGATTTGCAACTTGTATAAAAATATCCTTATCAATCTATATATGTATATATTATTAACTAAGAAAGCATTTTAAAAAAGTATTTTATTTTAGCAAATAGAATGCATAAAACTTCTCAGACATGGGTTGGCTTGAACCCGGGCTTTTGTTACTAAATGATCAAAATAGTTTTAAAATAAGCACAAAAAACTGTTTTTAAACAGTGGCATTCAGACTCAGTCTTTTCTTACTATATCATATCCAATTAAGACAACTTTGGTGAAAGACCTAGGGATACTATCTAGTTCAGTAACAAAATTCAAAATTCATTTGACCACTCAAATAAAATGAATATCGATCTGGATTTTGGCTCTGTGCACTGAGATACATAAGTATCTGTGGGATGCACCCACACCGATGCCGCTGCAAGAACATTTGCATGGGCCACGCATCGGTAGTTTTCGGATTCAGAATCGAGATTCCGCCGCTGATCTATTACACTCTCCGCTTCAGAGAACGTGCTGCTGTTGCATATTCCGAGATAAAATGTCATTGTGCCACAATGGCTCCCCCATCCGTCGTCATCATTGTGATCGGATCAGTCACATTCACCATTTGGGAACAATATGTTCGGGGCTGCCAGGTTCCCAAAAAGAACGAAGAAACAAACTTTGAAAATATTCAAGCGGAAGTGCATTATCAATTCAAGTTTATTTCAAATTAAGGTCCTAAGTATTCTCATTGTAGTAGAGTAAGAGTAAGTAAGGCTTTGTAACTGACAAATTTCTTATTATTTGCAGATCTTTTCGAAAATGTTTTCTCTCTGACGAAACAACGCGAAACGCGATCACTTTCAATTAAAAGACAATTTCATCGAATTAATTGAATTAATTTGGTGAGAACATGAAAGGAGTCTGCCAGCTGCACAAACAGCCAGCAAACCAATTAAAAAGAACCAAATGGCGCGGACTTAACCTAACCCAAGAGAACAATTCAGTCGAGGATGGCGACCAACAGTTTACTTTTTAATTTAACTTAATGTTGAAAAAGGCGCCAAGCAAGACCATCAGAAGAAATTCTGAGGTCTCTAAAAATAAATACTTAGTCAACTAATAATTTTTAAGATAACTTAATCCAACTTTAATATTTGATATATTTTGTTCATAAAATTTAATTTCTATTCCAATTGTTGTTCAAATAGATTTTGTATCTATAAACCTCTTTATACAATTACAAATATCCATTAAAGTATTAAACGGTTTTCATTATTATTCTTATTTAGGTTTGCGCTACGTTTATGCCCATTCCATATAGCAAACAATCAAAATGAATTTAATAGTCGTTTTCTTTATTATAAATAATTATTATTTATATGTATATTTTTAAGTATATGAATGCTGTTGCCACAGTTGATGAATTTCGCCTAAAGCTAATACAGCATTGAACGGTTACAACCAACGGATACATACTCTTGTGTGTTCATATCCCATTTAATCAGCCTGTTATATATTTGTCCCTGGAATCTCCTTAACACTTGTCATATGCCTGAGTAAACAATTGAGTTTTTTCTGTAAACTAATTCTGTATAAATTATGTTAGTTGATAATTTATTGAACATCTCGTCGAGAAAATTGGGATGGGCTGGATTGGGGTTTATCTGTCTTCGTAATACAATTTTCAACTTAGATTCTATACGAATTACATTATACTTTATCGATCTATTTATAATATTTAATGAGTCCCTTACTTGCATACGAATTTTAAATGTTCGATATTGCTGCTGCTGTTCGTTTAATTTCGCTAAAAATGTAATCATTATAGTTTTACCGAACAAACACAAACCGGAAGTCTCCTCAATAAGAATTTAATTTTGATGCAATGGACCATTCTCGCTATGCCAGACCTAATTCAAACTTTCTTTGTCAACCTAAATACAATTATGAACTGTAACTATCAGTCGGGCGGATTTGCCCGTCATTTTCATACATCTTTAGTTGGGTGAGTCGTCGTGGCATTAACAAATGTTCGCTGTAGTCATTTGGGCACTACACTAACTAGGACGTAAACGTGTGAGGCTTTGTCAATATATGTAGGCCAGCAATTTAATTATCTAGATTAGGCCGCGCTTCTTCTTGTAATCCTCTAGATTCAACGAACGCTTGGAGACTGTTTCAGCTGGTTTGTTGGCCGGTTTCGGTACGGAATTCGTACTAACTAATGAGGAAAAGAAAATGTACAATCATATAAATTTGGCCGGGGAAATTTTTCAAAAACTTACCCGGTAGCGGCACATCCAAGTCGATGTCAAAGTCGTGTAGTGAGTAAAGGCTGTAATCCTTTGAGTCTGTGGACTTGGCGCTAGCACTCGAAGTACCTGCTTCGCTGGGCCGCTTTTTTCCTGGTGGCGGAGGAGGCAGTGGCGCCAGCTGCATATCATCGTCGTCCTTCTTGGTACCCTTGAAACCCATGCGCGGCTGAGTGATCCGGCGCGTGAAGGGATCCGAGATCTTGAGGCCCTTGTTTGCCCGAGCCTCCTCTAGAATCGCCTTCTCGGCATCCTCCACGTTCTTCTTCCTGTTACGATCGTTTATGTAGGAGATAAGATTTAGGGTATGCGATCTCCTCTTATCCAGCTCGGAGGCACGGTTCTCCAGCTCATCGATCTGCTGACCCAGATCCTGGGCAATGTCGTAGTCACCCCTCAACATGGCCGCGTCGCGCTCCTTCATCAGACAGGTCTTCTTCATGGCATAGTTGGTGGGTCGGTTGCGGAAGCGGTTCTTCTCCTCCACGATCTTGTCCACGTCCTCGTCCTTAAACTCATAGTTCAGAGCCTTTTTAATGTCGCTTTGCTTGATTGCGATGAGGTCAATTGTGGGCATCTGGACGTGCGACTGCTGGCACACCTCGTTCCACTTATTGAACTCGTTCTCAGTGAACTCCTGGTTCGAAATGAACTCTAGCCGGAACACCCGCTCCTGTGTTCCATGTTTGAGTCTCAGGCCGCGATTTGTACGCGTGGTGCCCAGGCTGTAGATCTTGCCCGTCTCCACCACACCCACAATCTCTGCCACCCGATACACGGGCTTCTGGCCATTGTTTCCAATGCTAATGCGCACAAAGCAGTTGAGAACGGTGCTTTCAAAGATTGGCAAGTTCACAAAACGTTCCATTTTGTACCGCGAAAGTCGCAGCTTGTTCAGATCATCGCGTGTTGTTATGAAAACAGGTCTCTGCGGAACTTTCTCATCATCTTCCGATTCGCTGGAAGCTTTGCTGCTGTTGGAGCGCGAACGCTTGCCCGTGGGCTTCTCATCTTCATCCCAATCGCTGCTGCCCGAGTCGTCTGAATAAATCTCAGAGGCTTTCAGTTTCACGGCTGATTTGCAACCGGAAACGCTCTCCAATTCCTCCTTGTCGTCATCACGATCTCGCTCAGCCAGGCGCTTGGCTTCTTCTTCCTCTGGAGGTTAGTTAGAAAAGTACAAATATTAATTATGGTAAAACTTTATAATAGCCATGTAATCTTACCCCTTTTCGCCTTGCCCTCTCGCTTGGCTTTTAACAAGGCCATGGCATTGCTCCTCTTGTCGTCCGTTTTGTTGGCCTCTACGTTCTTCTTCCGCTCCTTGGATCGCTCCTTGTGATCGAAGTAATCGGACACACCAGCGGCAGCTGACTGATCATCGGGCAGATTACTGGCCACCGCCGCCGAAGTGGAAGCCACATCTCGATTAAGAGCGGGCGCGGACAAAGGACTCGCGGACCGCACTTCGTTGCTGGGTTTGGGAACCGCATCCGACAGTGTGGAAACTTGTGACGGCGCAGGTGCCTGTGATTCCCGAGCCTTCTTTGCCTTCTTCTCGCGCTTCTCCTTCTTCTTCTTGGCCCGTTCTCCTTTGTTCTTGGACTTCTCCTGGTTCTTTTCGCCTCGCTTAACCAACTTAAGTTTCCTCTCGATTTCCCAGCGTGTGCGCATGATCTCGCGCTGTTCAATGCGCTTGTAGATCTCCGTTTCACGCTCCTTTTCGGACAGACCATTGAGTCGCCTTCGATCCTCCTCGTCACCCATTAGGTCGTCATCGAAGCCGTCATCAAACTCTGAGTCGGAGCTGGAGGACGAAGAGCTCGAGGAATCAGACCCGGAAGAGGAGGAGTTGGACTTGGACTTGTCGGAATCGCTGTCCGAGACTTCGCCCTCCTCCTGTTCGCTGAGTTGGGCGGGCTGTAAAGCCTCTACCGGCGGCTTTTGCTCTGTATTTGCCTGGGCAGGGCTTTGCCTCGCCTGCGGCTCCTCATCCTGGCTGTCGTCGTCCCAATTGGACTCCGACGAGCTGGAATCCCTGCTGGCCTTCTGACGCTTCTTCTTCTTGGAGGCAGGGGCTCCGGCTTTGTTGTTGGCCCAGTCGGAATCGGAGTCGGAGCGGGAGCTCGATTTAGCCGCCGTTTGGGGCTTCTTGCGCTTCTTGGCCAGTGACATCAGGTCCTGGGGATTATATATACTATACATTAGACACATATCCGCATTGATTTTCGTTACATCGCAATATGGAGAAAGGGGCGCGGACCAGGGTTAAAACTCTATATATTCGCCACTCACCGATTCCAGATTGGTCTCCGATTCGCTGTCGCTATCGCTGGAATGGGAGTCGATCAGGGATTGCGTCCGACGTTTGCCCATTGCTGCTGGATTTGCTGGCCTTCTGTAGGTAATAAAATTTAACCAAACAAGTACGAAAAATTGTAGTGCGTGCCGTTGGGGATGGCAGATGAGTGCGATAGCTGGCAATCGATGTATCGATGTTTTGGCTTTGTTCGCTCTGAACTATCGATGTGCCAGGGCTGGCAAAAATATCGTTCAGGGCTGAGCAGCTATCGAGCGCATGGAAAATACAATCAGCTGACTGAGAACACCCGCCATACATATGTGAGCAGCGGTAATTTATTGGAACACATCTAGTGGGAACGGTTCGAGCTTGGGGAAGTTGAAGATGTGAAACTCCGATTCATGGATATCTATTTGTTTATTTATAGATGGTTTTTTCCATGGGCCACAAACGCTTTACATGAAAAGAAAATAAATTTTATAAGGCTTTATTTTTGCAGCTTTTGTGTTTCGATAGTATTTTGTTATCTTTATGTTATGTTTTTTTTTAAATATTTATAGCCTCAGCACTTTTTTAATTTTTGTTCTTTAAAATAGTCGTAAAATTAAATAAAATTTTAGCACTACAAAATGCAATATCAAAATGAAGCTCGAGCAAAGGGTTGCTTTGATTGAATCTTCTTGGTCTTACCTGTTAAAAACTTTTAAAACTTTATCTGTACATTTATACAAAAGTTAGATTAAAAACGTTTAGTTTTGATAGTTTATCGTTAGGCGGGCTTATAATTACTATTTTTTAATGGTAGCTGAACATATAATTGGTTTTATGTTATCCACTTTTGACTCATTCTTACATTTGTACCAAAAAGCAATAAAGGCCAAAAGAATTAGCTTTGGACTAGAAAGACAATCAAATATTGTAATTGGAAAATGTATGGTTTATCCGATCGATATTAATCATGAACTGATCCGGATTTTATTTATGTCTTAGTATGATGTAAATTTATCTAAAAAGTGTGGCTAAATCACCCAACTATGATTTGAATGTTATCTTTTTTTAAAATTCTTTTAAATTCCCATTGTAAAGCGAAAGTAATATTTGAAGGATTGGTGCTTACCACATCCAATGATATAAATAGTGTCATAGAAGTTAATAATTCCCATAAAGTAACGATTTCATTTATATTGATTTCATTTAAAAGTTTGATCCGTATACCCCTTGAATCGGACACCAATATCATGTCAGTAAGCGTTCAATGCGAATTCGATACCAATTTCTTTCGGGCATTTTTCGGCTCGGACAGGACCTTTTTCGTCCTTCCCACCTCCCACTTTTCACCCCGGGGGAAATGCCTTGCGGCTGGTGCAGCACGTGCACATTTTGCCGCGCTGTCGAGCGCAACACTGAATCACACTTAAAGCAGAGCTGGAAAAATAAAGCGAAGCTGTTCGAGCAAGGTAAACAGAAGGATGGGTGTGGGGGAGGTGCTAAGGAACGGGATGGCGACTGTTGAATTGAAATGCAAATTTGGGCATCCCCCTCTCAATTTGCATGATACCGCTTTGCGGCGCGGGCATGATGACTTTGTGTACCGTGTAATGGACAAACATATGTATATGTGCACACTGGTAAGTGGGTTATGGGGTTTCGCCCGTAAATGTGCTTGTTTTGCGCCCACGCAAAAAACACAATTTTGAAAACTAAATTAAAACCACACCTGCTGCCCCCACGGAAAATAACTTACAATCAATATTAATTAAAATGCAGGCGTTTTCCAGGTCCCTCGAGCGCGTTTTCCCCAAGTTCTGGCTGCCGGCGGTGGCGAAAAATGTGGAAAGGGTGAGCGGGGGAGGGTTTTTTTCGGGGCGGAGGGTGAAAACGCACCCACATACAGACTTTCATAATTCGCCTTAAATGCTGCGAGGCAATTTGCAGTAGCAACAGCAGCAGCAGCAGTTGTAGCAACAATAACAGCGGCATGAGGAAACCCATTGCACATTCAACAAAGTGCACATTCAACAGCAACAACTACTACAAGTAGAAAAGCAGCAATGCGTCAGCCCATGAAAACAACCCACTCGATGCCAGCGCCCACCCCAAAAACCATATTCTTTTACAGTGGACGCTCAGAAAGGAGAACTTAGAAAAGTAACATTTTAAATAGTTTAAGCTTTAGAAATATCAAACAGTTTTTCATTTAAAATGGATTTTATTTTTATATAAAAAGGCATTTTAAATTTGTTTTATATTGAATCAAATTAATCTCAAAATAAAGTAAGAAAGAGTATTAAACTCTTTATGGCGGTTTTGTCTACGACGAATTAATATCAAAATAGTAAGAAAGAATATTAACCTCTTTATGACCCCATAAAATTATGAGAGAAAAGAAAGAAACCTTTTTAGTGATATTTAAAGCAATTGCAAACTGCAAAGCGCTAGAATTAATATTTTTACTGAAAGGTTCTGCAAGATTATGGTCAAACTTTTTGAAACGAATTTTTTTCTATTTCCAAATTTTGATTATATAATACATTTTTAAATGATTAATGATTACAACCCATATTTTTGAAATTCTGTTGTATTGGTTCTTTATACTGTACCCCCACGGATAAAAAGCATTCACATTTTCTGTGGATTTTGAGAAACTTTTCTAAACTTCAAATAAACAAAACTTAACAAATTAAATTAACTTTGATTTATACAATATGGAAATAAAAGCACTAATAACAACCATACCCGTGTTACAGTGAAACCCTTTGAAACATTGACATTACTATGAATATACCATTTGTTATCATTGTTTTACTTTAACAGCCCTTAAAGTATTTGTACATATTTTTATGCCTTCCAGTTCTGTAAATCCTGTACACAATTTCTTCCCCATTACTTTGCTGATCTGCGGATTCTGTATTTACAAACCCATTTCCGAACGACCCCTGTAGCTGAGTTCAGCACTAACCACCCAACCCCCGACGATCCACCCCCGTAACGCTCGGAGCTTTGAAGCTCAGCTTTGGGGCATGCGCAGCAGAGCGAGAGAGAGAGAGGTGGCAACCGAGAGCGACAGAGAGCGGAGAACGCCCAAGGGGGTTGGCCATGGCCGCCGACCCGCTTTCCGCCTTGTTTTTTGCCATTTTTGGGTTGGAAGCTCTCGGCCGGCGGCGCTGTTGCGTTGGCGTTGCGTTTTGTTGCGCCGGCTGTTTTGCCAAAAGTGGTAAGACGGGGAGAAAGAGAGGCAGAGAGAAGAGCGACTCACGCAAAAGAGAGGAGAAGAGCGAGCGGCCATTAAAGCTCAGCTCACCTTGCCGTAAAAACTAGCAAAGTTCAATTGTGAATTTTCATCTCGATGTGTGCGTGTGCGTTGTGTTTTTTTTTCGCCAGTTCAACGAAAGAAGCTCGCGAGTGCGGTAGCGGATAACGGTAAACGGTAGACGGTAGCTCCAATAACGGTCCATCGGCGGTCCATATAGCATAGTGCAGTGTAGTGTACCGCAGTGTTTTTAAGTGAAGTGCAGACGGGGGTTGCTAGCAAAAAGCCCATAAAATACAAAACGCTAAAAGGTGAAGAAAGAAAAAATATTTAACCCAAGTGTGTCGGTTCAGTGTTTCTGTGGTGCGAAAATCTCACGAAAATAGAAAAAAAGAAAACAAGAGGAAAAATTCAATAAAAACATGGCCCGCTGAGCGTTGAGCCGCACACAACAGAAAAGGTAAGGAGAGAGTGCGTTCACTGTACAAAATTGTCATATCTTTTTGAAGACTGCAAAAGAGACACCAAAAATGTATATAGAATAAAAAAAATGGTTTTGATTACTTTTATTATCGTTTACGTTAATATTACAATTACTAAAGTACTAAATCTTTGTCACAAAAACACTGTAAGAAATTGAACAAATTTTAAGTAAAATGCACAATCTTACTTATGTATTCTTTCTTATACTGATATTGCAATTTTTAGAAATCGATTACCTTGGTTAAGAGTAAACAATTTTACTATTTTATTATTATCTAAATGAAGAAAAGATTTTATAAATAAGTATCAGCCCATAAAATATTATGTTTACAAAATATGTATTTTGATTATACCATAGGAGATATTATAATATTTTGAAACTACATTCTTAATTTAAAATGTTTGGATATGATTTATTTATTTATTTAATTATTATATCTCAGCAAAAAAGTCCAACATATTTTGCTCTGTGTACTTCAGGTTTATGCTGCTTGAATAAACTCTTTCTTCCCAAGACCACAGTTTTTTGTTGTTAAAATAATCTCACAAAACAGCAAGTGACAGAGTTTTAGTTTTCCGCATTTTCGCACTTTTTCAATATTTTTTGCGGCCAAGCCGCGGGCGTGGCTTTCCCCCTTTATTTTTTTGTTAAAAGGAAAAAGGATACGGCATTTCGTTTTCAGTTTCTGTTGGCTCTTTGTACTTTCCCCCTCTTGCTGTCTCCTCTGTGTTAATTTGTCGTGCATTTGCAGCTGGAAAAACAACGTCAACAGCTAACTGGGGAATAACAAAAACTCACGTCCGAAAAACCAAAACTAAACTCGGAAAAAAGCACGAAGCGAAAAAGAAAAACAAGCGCGAAAAGTTGCTCGCTTAATAAAGGATTTTCCATCCAGCTGGAATGTGTTGAGTGGGTGAGTTTTGCTCAAATGAATATTAATTAGCCGCGTTCGGTGGCTGCTGACTGAAATGAATGGCTGCCAAATATCTCAGTCAGCAGAGAATACAAATTAGGAAATTACTCCAAATAATTCGAGCAATTAGTAGTTGAATTTGAGCGAGTAATTTAATTGGAAAGCTGGGAATTCTAATTTTAAAATTGGCTGAAATTTTAAATAGGTTTTAGGCCTTGATTTGTTAATTGCAAATAAAAAAATTCTTTCAAATACTAATTTTGACTTAATATTGTCAGTGCATTATAAAAAGTTAAGCTAATATATGCAAAACTTAAATGTATTCCCTTGGTAAATACTTTCAGTTTACTTAACAAGTTTTGTAAACAAAGCTTTTTTTTAACACTTTAAGCGCAATTTTCACATCTTAAAGTTAAGCTCAACAGAAAACTGTGAAGAGAGTAAATAATATATTTTTTGTTATGCAAAAATTCTGTTTTCTCAGTACACTTAATTGATGTTTTCAAAGCTAATTGATACATTTTTCTCAACTGTGGGCTATTTTCTTTGGAAATTGGATCACTTTTAATTGGAAAAGCCTGTTGGCAAGGGACTTATCCCGACACTTTATACCGTAAGCCTTTTCAGTCCTTTAATTTCTGAAATCTAGTCAAAGTTGCCCTTTCCAACTTCCCCAGCCAACTCCCCCCAGATTTCGATTATATAGTATGTCCCCATTCTGGGCCATAAAGAACCATTTCAAAAGGTTAGGCACACACGCAGGGAAAACAGAAGCTGTATGCCTTTGGGTATGTGAAAAGCGTGGTTGAGGGGGTGAACAAACAATGCTGCTGAAGTGACCAGTGGACAAAAACTGCTGCTGGCCACTTGCATTCGGGCTGGGAAAAGGTTTCCAGCCTGTTGGCCAGGATGCGATAGGATGGCCCGCCCTCCACACATTTCCAATGCAAATTTTAGCCAGCAGAAAACTCAAATCAGAATCAAACAGACGCACAAGTGAGGGGCCAGAGTGTCGGCTAAACAAAAGAAAATACAACGAGGCGAATGCTGAAGTGCTTAAAATGCGTTTTGTCAACATTAACCCGAAATGGCCGGACGGCAGATAAGCAAGTCAGTCACTTTCGGGGGTTTCGGGGCGATGATTAATGCTGCAGAAATTGCTTTCGGATTTGCCAGCCAGCAACAGCTACAATGGGCTTTTCTGAAAGGAAGATTACGGATTTTACACAGTAAACAAAATATAAGAAACCGTTTATTTTGTATTAAATATTGAATCGGTTCTTACATTTAAAAATGTTAATTACTAAAAGCAAATTTAATGTTACACACCTTTAATTTGGAGGAAAATAAAACTTATTTAATAGTACAGACACAGAATTGAATTTAGAGTACCACCGAGTATCACCCCAAAACTTAATAATATCGCCTGGTTGCAAAACATAACAACAGAACATTAATAAATTAAGTACAATATTGTAAAATGTTTGCAAAAAACTGCACATGGTAATGATATTAGTTATTTATTATTATTATAATTTATTAGTAATTTTATTACATTTTTAAAGGCAAATTTCAGAGCTAACGAACGGAGCAAAATAAACATTATACAGAAATAATTTAAACGTGTTAAAGCCTTGAACTGCGAGTCTATATAGTTTCCAAAATTGCAAGAATTTTTCCCAGTGCATGCGAAACTGGCAAATGCACAAAGCCAAAGACGTTCCCCGTTTTGAGCGAAGAGGGGGTGGGTGTGGGCGGGCGGGGGGTCATGCCTGTTGCCGGGGCAACCCTCAAGGATGCTGCAACCCTTGGGCCAGGACTCGCATCTCGCAAAGGCACGGCAACAACAAGCGACAAAAGGCATGAATAATTCAGCCGGAGAATGCAGCTTGAAGATGCACAGAGCGGCGTTACAAAGAAGGCTTGGCCGTATACCCTCCGACTGACGGAATAACGAGCATAAATCCCGGCGAGGAGCTCCGGTCCTCGAAATAATTGCTTTGAGCTGCACCCCTTGGCATGGAAATTCAACGCCGAACTGTGACACAAGTTTCCCGGCAGAGAATTATCGGATCCGTCGTATACTTTAAAGCTCCTTTTATCGGATTAGACTGCTTAAAACATTAGGCGAATTATAACCACGGCGTGGAATAACCCCTTCAGGTCACTCCAACGGGCGTGGCCTGGCCCCATTTCTTCAATACCGCTTTTCCATTTAACCATTTCCACGCTTAGCACGTATTGCGCCAGCTAAATTAGATTGCGTGTGGCATGTGGCACAGGCAACAAAGGCGGCGGCAGAGGTCGTAGCACCGGCAGGTGCAAACTGCTCTGTCGACAGCTTTGGCAACAAGCCCCCTCCCATTTATTAACTTTTTCCGCGTTGCGTGATTCCCCCCAAAAACCGACTGCAAGTCCCGCCTCCAAAAGGTGGCTCAAACGTATGCACGGATTGGTAATCTCCTATTTGCAAATTAATAATGTTCCGACAAAGCCAACATAATCACGAAAAAAATAGTAAAAGTAAGGTAGTAAAAAGGTAAATAATTGGGAGGACTTATATTTCAACTTTATCTCGCTTTGTTTCCATGTCAGCAGAGAAGTAAAGTAAAATAGAAAATTCTGGATGCCTCATTAATTTGACTATAAGGAAAAACAAGCAATAATACTTGACTCTACTCGAGATGCGATTGCAGCATAGTGATTTGTAATTCAATAAGAAAAATGTTAGTATTAAAAATGCTTTCTTTCATTCCAATTAAATAGCAAATATGGAATTTCAAACAAAGCATAAATCCCAGTTTTCCATGCAGATTTAATCAACCCCAACTCCAATGTATTTTTATTAATTTCATTTAAATTTCAATTTATATTGATTAAAAGCACAAATTAAGCAATACAAAACGTCTGCACTGTAGAAAAATATTAAAAATAAATCAACCTGTAATCCCCAATTAAAACCATCAATGGATGCAGGTGAGATGCTTACCTTAAAATTGTGATTAAATATTCATTACAAAAGTAACTGTAGTAAATGTAGTTTTATTTTAATGAAAACATTGAGTTCTGCAAGAAATTTGTTATATTATAATTATAATTTATACGTGTACATATTCCAAAAGTAAATAAATGCTATGGCAAAACAAGTTTTTTTTCTTTTATGTATTTATTATTTTTTGTTTATGTTGTTCAAAGTGAAGGGTGTTAAAACCAAAAGTTTTTTGTTTGGTTTCAAATTTGGATAAATCGACATAAAGTACGAATACATTTTTGGGGTTACTCGAAAGTATTGCAAAACTAAATATTTTATATTTACCACTGCAGTGGTTAAATCAGTGATTTCCCGAAAATCTGCGATAAATTTGCTTCTCAAATTGTTATAAAATATTCATTGCCTAAGTTACGCCACTTGCCTGCGGACCAATTAAACTTTAATTGAATTACAACTTTTCGAATTCCTTGGCACTCGCCCAAACACACAAGCGTGAGTTCAATGTCAGTTGGTCGTTGTTCGTTGGTCGTTGGTCGCCAGTGGGTTAATGATGCGCGACCGGGGCAAACGAAAGCAAAAGCCAGAAGCTTAAGCTTTGGATTCAGCTTCAGCTTCAGCTCGAAGTCGGAGGAACCAGAGCAAGAAATCACAACCCACGCGAATCGACGAAGCGTCAAAGAAATCATTTCATTATGGGGCAAGAGACTCTATATAAGTTTGCAGAGCGTACACAACCCATGGAGCGGGCCTAAGTGAATGAAAATGAAAAAGTGCTGGTGGCACACACAAGTTACGTGATCAGAATGATAAACCCGGGCTCAGCATACATATAGAGAGTGGGGCATGTGGGTGGTGCAGACGGGCCCACAAGTGGCCGGTGGGTGACTGATGGTGGGTGGTGGCAGTTGAATCAAATAAATTTTCATTGTACTCGCGCTCCGACGGATTCCCTTTCTATTATTCCGGCTTTTGTTTGATGGACTCGAAGCTCGAATTAATTAAATCGTCACCGTTTGTTTTGTTGTGCGTAGAAATGACCGAGTCCGAATCGAAATCTAAATCCAAATCCGAATCAAAACGAAATTAGTGGTCAAAAAAAAAGTGAACGCTAGTCGCTGTTTGCATTATGAAATCCGTACAGCCCTAATGGGCCTGGCAGATGTCACGACAGTTCATGGCTGGCAAATCCGGCGCAAAACAGAAATGTAATTAAACTTTTAATTAAATGAATTAAAATACCATCTCGATGACATCTGTGGGGAAATTGTCATAACCCCCATGACAACGCGGATGTTGTTGGCTATAAAAAAATGTCTAAAGCTCACAGATTGAAACTACACGGAAAATGTTTTTTTATGTAATAACACATTAGAAATTATATATTATGTAATAAATCATAGAAATTAATTGGGATGTTTCTTAATTTACTAAGTATTTAATGTCTAATTATAAAACTAAACTATAATATGTTGAAAAAATTTAGGATTTATAATATTTAAGGGGAGACCGTTGAAATATTTTGCGGTTTTCAAAGATTGGATAATTGACTTTTCGTGCAATTCCTTCGAATTAATACATATTTGTCGCTTGGGAAATTATTGTTCATTTAATTTTAAATACATTGAGCTATGCCTTACTTTGAAGAGTAAAAAGTTCGAGCTATATCGATTTTTTAAGCCGAGAATAGAATAACAATAGGAATAGGAAAAAACAATTGCTAAATAATAATACTTAAAACTTAAGCCTTCAATTTATAACCAGTTGATAAGAAGTTCGTGTTAGTTTTTTCCCAGTGTAGTTAGCTTTGTTTGAGTTTCTTTGAACTGTCAGTCTTTAATTGGAGACAAAAGAGGCCAAATGGAGGCCCAGCTTTATAAATGCGGTCAGCAAATGGGCGGCCACGCCCACTGGCCGCCCTCATTTATTAGTTGGCCTGCGGAGCGAAAGAGAGGCCAACAAAAGCAAAAAGGTAAATGCGGCGAATGTGTAACCATAAACCACCCAGTTA